GCGGGAACCGAGTCTTTACAACCTCCGCTAGGAAGGAAATGGCTTCCACAGTGCGCCCGTGGTGAATTTAAGCCGCCACTGCAAGACCCCACGTACAGACGAAAGGCATATTCACCACGACCCCCTCTCCTACGCACTAAACCCACAAAGTAAACACAATCACAACTCAGAGAAACGCATCGTTTTTATTTAGCCTTCCTCGTATCTCTCAGGTTTAAAAAGTAAAATTTGAGATTAAAATTGAGATTAAACTCCTCAAACAGATTTTCAGGCAATTTATGGGTGTTATAAAAAAAAAAAAATCAAAAAAGGGTGAAAAACGAAAAAGATAAAAAGGAAAAAGTTTTTTGTTTTTGTTTTTTTTTTTACATTCATCAAGAGATTTTGAAAGGTGCCATGTGATTCGCTCCGGACACTTAAGTCCTTATTTCTCCACAAAGCAGACAAGATACCAGTGTTTTCCTACAGTACATTGCCAATGTAAATATTTTGACATAAAAGTAAACATTTAGGTGACAAATGATAGTTCAGGCTTCATGAACTATGTATTCCTTAACATCTGCCAAAGGCGACATTTTGGAAGCTGGACTGCTGTCCAGCAGGAGTTGGCCACCGCGCTGTGAACCTCGGCCCCTGGAAAAGTCCTGGATATCAATGGTTTTCTTAAATACCCTTTGGTCTAGGCTGCATTCAGAGCGGCGATCTGGCAGTGAAAGCTTTTCACAGCACATCGTGAAATACCTGAACTCTACAGCCCTTCGTGAAAAGGATAAAGGAAGGGAAAACACCTGGGGCAGTGACGGGGAGCGAGTGCCGCTCAGCGCCTGCCCTGCCAGCAGTCAGTATTTTATCAGCTGCCAAGCAAGACCTCCATCCAGAAGAAGTCTGAGAGACTAAATAAAACGCTGAGTGCAGGAGTTTTTAACGTTAGCAATGTTGGTCGTAGCCGTGCTGGTACTACGGTCTGCCGTGTGCCACCACTTACAGTAGCCAAACCGTAACGACCGCCGAAATCCTCAAGGTGATTCACCCGGGGCAGATTAATTGACCGAAAGAGGCAGCAACTTCCTGCGACAAAGTTCTTCCTCCCTTATTTGCACGGCCAAATGCCACCCACTGATTGATTTTTTGGTGCAAACTGCATCTGCCTTAGTATGACGTTATGCCAATTAACTAGTTTTGACATTTTGGACTCAGATTAGGAATTAAAATTCCTCAAGTTTGTTCATTCTCAAAACTGAAACCAGAGGGTTAACCTGTAACTATCACAGCAGATGGACTATGACCCGAGAAAGGTGATGATCGTATTTAGCCTTTTCTAACTACGAAAGGGCCAGGAAACGAAGGTTATTCTCACAAATATTCTTGTACCACAATTTTAATCCGTAACATCAAAAGAGAAGAATTTCCCTTCAAGTCCTTCAGTCTGGCAAAACCTGTCCGGTCATAGCGAAACCACATAAGCATGACAGACAGAACAAACAGGTCGTATCCTTAAATGACAAATTATTTCTCGTGAAATAGAAAAGTTAGTCAAAAGTGCAATTCTTCCTTTCATGGGAAATTTTGAGAAATTTCTTCGTGAAATGAAATAATCAAACACATTTAATTCCATAAAGTGAAAATATTTCATTATTATAATTAAATGAAACCGGAAAGTCAAAATGAGCCATATCAGAAGTGAAATGGTTCAATTTTTCCATTAAAAATCTGATGGAATAGATATATTTGTGCAGAAATGTTTTTAGTTAAAACAGCATTTTCCAAGGGGAGGTTTTGACTGGCTGCATTAATAACCAGCCATTTCCTTCAGTGACTGAACGGGTAAAGATTACCTCTCCCCCACAACAACTGGGTCTATTTGTAAAAGGAGAGCATGAAACTGCTAAATTAAAAGCCGTATCATCCAGCTCTCAAGACAAGAACGCGATCCACTGCACCGCCACGCAAATCACCAGTGTAAGCAGTGATATGCTGGCTACGCAATAAATCATTTTGCAAAACCCAACTCGGAACAAACCATAAAGACACATCTCAACAAAGTAATTACAAAAACATCCAACTAGATGAAAAACAGGACTGAATAATAATTTGCGAAAGTATTTCTGAAGATGTTGCTACATGTATAAAACAAGGACACTACGCAAATTGATCCTTGACCCTGAAAAGTAATAAAAAAGAAGAAACAAAACAGATGTTACAAAGGACAGAACAGTACTTGAGTGACTAGTGGATTAGAGAACTAAATAGGTGTTCAGAAATTGAAGTGCCATAATGCTTTAAAAGAAATAACCAAAGGTTTCAGCAGATACGAATTCACGCGCACTGACGAGGTCACTTCACCGCAAAGATTTCCAGCATACGCTCTTTCAAAGCTCTCGCTGAAACACAACACTGCTCAAACTGAAAAAGAAATGCTGGCAACTAGGAACAGTTTCATGAATGTGTTTATAGGCAGAAAACACTAGAGGCACAACTGGCCACAAACGGTTGGAAGTCATAGTACAGAAATCCTCACGGAAAAAACACTGCCTGTGCGCTCCAGAAAATGATCGTGAAATTGCAGAAGTATTCACTAGGCTGGCTGAAGAACAAAATCTTAACAGTAGAGAGTTTTCACCTATGAATAGCAAAAATGAAGAGCTGTAGGAAGTAGTGTTTGCAGTAAACACAATTCGAGTAATAGCCGTTTCCAGAAACAAAGCAAAACCAAAACAAAGGTTTTATCAGCTCAAGTGAGAAGCACAAAGCGACCCAACTTTACCAGATTTTGAGAGCGCAATTCCGAGTGAATGGCGGATACTTTCCAAAGCACATCGCCTCACAAGAACGAAGCAGAGAAAATTGCTGCATATAGCTGCAAGGGAAGCATGTTCTATAACCAAAACCCACCATGCAACAGTAGGTTGGAAGTCCCAAACATAAACACCCCCAGGTGTTCGTAATTTTACAAATGGTGCTGAACACCCCATTTTGGCCATTCGCTGTCACTCAGGGTAAGGAGGGCAATTTGAATGGGAAGCCGAATGCCACCACACCAGCACCACAGGAAATTCCCAATTATCCTTAATGCAAGAACAGCACAGTGGACTACTCCTCACATTTTCTTCATCTGAGCTGTCACACGATACCCGAGTAAGTAACGCTGTAACTTGAAACAGGTTCTTTAACTGTATTCACAGGCATAAACAAAACGGGCTTCCTGGAGCCAGGGACGCGCGGTGCTGAGGAGCACACCAGGGATCCCTGCTCGTGTAAAACTGCTGAAGTGTTTTGTTTGCCTTCAGACTAATTTCACTTAGGCAGAGGCAGAACCGAGGGGAATCAGAGGTAATTTCTGCAGCCCTTGGCACGGGTCTGTCATTAGCTGCAGTTCAGCTGGGGTGAGGAATTCACTTTATTATTAACACCTGTTCCTAGTGGGGACTCGCACAGAAGCTGAACGGGGCCGTGTTCAAGATACTAAAGCATCAGGGATTATCTCAACCTGAAATTCTAGTAGGATGCCCTACGGTGGTACTTCACAAGCGCTGAAAGTTTGTCTGCACTGAAGGTTGTAAATATGGACGAGAGATTTACAGTCTCTACCTCTCCTAAGCAAAATGAATGTAACTGCAGCTCTTAAAGCCAATATGTTTAGCAGACTCTGAAAATGAGTAAGGTCTCCTAGAGCTAAATTATAAATTTTGCTTTAAAACACAGTTAAAAATTAAGCTGATACCAATAAAATGCATGGAGTTTAAAACTAGTCTCATTAGAGACTAGTTCCATTTGCCTACATTTAATAACTTTTTTTTTTTATCATGACATTTTCAAAAATGTTTTTCTTGCCAGTTTTCTAGTTTGCAAGTATACATGACCAAAAAACCTTGATTCTTTATGAAGAGGAAAATGAGAAAACAATATATACAGATTACTATCAAAAACATAAAAGTCAAAATTTAAAAAAAATTGGCTTTGCTTCCTACGTTAAAAGGGTCTTTACAATCACTTTATGTGAAAGTAAGTGAAAGAGGAAAAAAATTACTCGGGGGGGGGGGGAAAGGAGAGACTTCAGTCTTCGTTTGTTCTTATAATTTCCTTCTACACACGGTCACTGTGATTTTTCTCTCTCAGACAGGCCACTCCAGGTAAATTTTGCAGCTTCTAGGTGAGGGCAGTCGTACCCATCTCTTCCTAGTTCATAGTTCAATTAATTGACAAAAGTCACGCGGAGCTAATTTCTCCCTGATAAATCACACACAGAGAAGTTGAGTAAGTCCTGCTGGAGGAGAGGACCTACCAATACAGAGAGACACAGACAGAGATAAAGATTAAAAAACCGCTGCTTACCAAGGCCAGCAACCTGCCATCCTCCTTCATAGCCAGAAAGCGATTTGCACTTACACCTTTGATTGACACCACTCCTCTTTCTTCTGCTTGAAGCTGCAGCTTGACTGCGAACAAAAAAGACAAAAGTAAATTTTCACAGCCATCGCGGTATTTCAGCACTTGACAGCGAAGCCTACTGCTTCAAACCTAAAACCAGAGAAAGACTGAGCTTCAGCTTGCAGCGAAGACAGTAGACTTTTGACCTCTAGCCTTCCGATCCCATTTTTCATCAAAGAAAATGCTTATTACAAAGTAAGTAGCTATTGTCCAATTGGCAAAAATAAGCATGCGTTATTCTTCTATCTTCATTTCACAAAAAAGCAATTTAAAAACCCATAAAAATTCCTTGAAGGACCACTTACGGCACGGTCAACCGCTCAGAGAAGATGGGAATTTTTCATGGCAATTTTCTTACGGAGGTATTTCTTAATGTTTATCGAACAGCATCGGACACTGAATGCATGCAATTCTATACAGCTAGATTGTCAGAGGCATGAGTCTGGACTATGATTAAGACCATTCAGGACCGTATCACTCGCTAAATGTTCTAGCAGTTCCCAACAGAAAAGTTTCCATTAGTTTACATCATACATCCAACAAGGGGTTAGAATAAACAGAAAGAACTGCAAAAGTAGACGAGGATAGCAAAGACACGAGAAATGGTGTTATACAAATTAGGAAGATGAAAAGTGGGTTTATTTGAATCAATTATTTTAAAAAAATGAACAGTCATGTTTGTTTGAAAGTCCGTAAGGTCATATCACGTAGCTTTTAGCTACTGCCTGTGAATTAACACAAAGTCTAAACTGATTTTTCTAGCTACAAATCAAATCCAGTAGTTTAGATTAACACACAAACGTTTTCCCCTTTGCCGACGGCTTGTTTCAAGCTATAAGCCAAAAGTGGCCTCCACCTAAATCCAGAAGAGCCGTTTGCTCTTTTTCTCCTTTATTCTTCCCTGATTATTCCTGTCATTGCATTCAGAATGAGAAATGAATCAAGCCTTGAAGTGGCTGAAACAGCGGAGCCAGGAAGTTGCATCTCCGCTGCATTTCAGCCTAACCTTAACAGGAGTACCTGGGACACTGCACCTCAAAGTGCAGGTTTTTGAACCAGTGGCTACTCAGGAGGGGGAATACTGCGATACAAGAAACTATACCGAATACCATAGAAAAGTCCACCAGATACCTTCTACACGACTTCCATTTCTTTTGAGCCGCAAATACCTAAATGCTGTGTTGGAACTGCCATTTTTCTGGAGAATAAGGGAAGGAAAAGGAAGCAAAGTACACGTTGTCCTAAACCATAGAAGATCCTGTTCTATTCCAACCATTTTTAGAACATCTCCCTCTGACAATCTAACTTTATTTAAAGCATCACTTAAAAAAGGGGAAAAGGCCCATACAGCAACTCATATGAGCTCTTTGGACTGCTTGCAGCTTGACATGTGGTCCTTCCTCCTCCCCTTCACAGAAAATACATGCCCACTCCCTGCAGCTCCATCCCATTGAGACAGCTTGCACAGGCAGTACGATTCAATCCCATTTCTGCTAAAAACAAACACAACCATTTCAGCAGCAGTGGAACAAAAAAAATTGGATCTCCCAAAATCCCTAGGTTTTCCTCTATTCTGGATGGCCATTATTTCCAGTGAAACCCGTACCTGCAGACCCTCTCACTTAAAAAAGAGCAATTAAGAGCGAGCCCAGATGAGTACTGTGCTTCTGGGCAATACTGTGCTTCCATCCACAGTTCCACTAAACGGGGATTTTTAAGAGCAACTGTACTTCCATGACAGGAAGCAAGATCATGGCAACACGGGCATCAAAAATGAGGAATAGCTGAGAAACAGCTTCTCACCTTCTTGGGATGCATAAAGACAAAGACGACTCTCACCAAAGAATTGAGCAGCTAAAGAAGGAACGAGCAGGATGTCGCAAGCCGGTACTGTTTATGTGTCCATCAGGTGTCCAAACGAAGGATATGACTCATCTGGTGCGAGACTATCAGTGTTTCCAAAAATGAACTAGACTGGAACTTCTCCTTCCTTCTGCTTGTCATCCCAGAAGTTATTTTGGGAATTAGTTAAAAACATTTTCTGTTTGAACAGACTATACAGAGATCTGACCATGATAAAAGCCCAGCTAGAGGAACCGACAGCTGTGCTCCATTCACTCAGACGTTCTCAGCCAAGGACTCGCACCAGTTTGTGTTTGCCCATTTCTGTCTTCGAAGGGTTCTTGAGAAACACACCCCTGGTTCCGTACAGTAAAACTGGTATTACAGCTTAGTGGGGAAAGTCGGATGGGCAATACGGGTATACATCATCTCAGACACGAGCTTCGTTCACCTACCTGCTTTTGTGGAGTATATAGTTTTTTCTATTTAATGATGCAGTTCTAAAAAGCTTGACCTTTTAAGCCACCAGAATAAATGCTTGAAGTGCGTTTGGAGCGGGAGCATCTCTTGAGATTCAGAGGGAGTTTGCTGCTTATTTTGCTTTTTGTTGTGGGGAAAAAGATTTTTGCAATACAAATGAAAGCTTTCTTGGTTTACTTCTGTTGCTCCTAAAGACAGGACTGAAGAAACTCCAACAATAAGAATACCAGGAACATGAAATCTTTAGGATAATTGCTGCAAACCCTTTTTTAAGCATTAAAATTATTTCATCTGATTTTTCCCCAGATACAGACAGACATGAGTAAGAGTTGCTTGTAAATCCACTAATTTGTATACACAACTGAAGCCAAGCCATATTAATAGAAATGCTGCACTCTAAAGAAGATAAAATGGTTTCTTATGAATTGTGTGTCTGTTGCCATTTTGCACAAAGAAAAGAAAAAAGAGAAACCTCTCATAATTCACTAATAACTCCAGACTTCCAAGGAATACAGAAACCTCTGCAGTCGTAAAAAGTTAGGTGAAATGTTTAATTTCATCCCAGAATCAAGTATCCAAAATACAGCCCTCCCGAGTTACTAGGCCAAAATCAGACTTGTGAACAGCTTCAAAAACCTTCAGTGCAACTCCTTGCCCTCTGGGGAAGCAAGAATGTGGAGAAGTGCTCTGGGCAGGAACTGGGGGAAATGGACTTTTGAGATGTGCCCAAGCATACAGCTTTCACCGCACACTTAACAAGAAACAGCTGTGTGAAATAGCTGAAAAGTAATATTAATTACTGCAGTACGGACTTCTTATGCTTCGTGACTTTCTCCTGACAAAAAAAGCACACCAACTCCTATGGCATCATACCGGGCCAAAAGTTCAGATTCCATAAAAACAAACTTTTACTAAAGGTTTTTAAGGCCTGTAAAAATATTTGTATAGTTTGGAGAAGCTTGTGAAAAGCGTTACTCTTTAAAAAGGAGAAGGAGGAGAAAAAAGGAAAGAAAAAGAAAAAGATTTTCCTGCAGAGTTTGAAAAGTGCTGCAATACTGAAAGCCCCAAAAGCAAGATCAGCTTCACTGGATTTTCCTCTCTAACTCGAAAAACACAAGACTAAACAGAGCCAGAACAGTACCGTAAGTTTTTCAGGGGTTTTTTTCAGGTTTCAGCGTTATTTCATGGCTTTATTAATGCAAGGTAAGTATCTGCCGCAGTGTTATGTTGATCTGGAGATGCCAGCATACAATACAGCCTTACTAATCAAACACATTTTGACCATGCAATCATCACCAGCAGCAACAGTTTTAGGTTTAGCTCAATGCAACTTGGCACAATCGGTCAGAAGAGAAATGTAACACTTGACAGCGATGATCCGTATCTTTTGCAGCCTTTAGGTCACCAATAGCAACAGTTCAGACACGGACCATCATTTCAGATCTACTCGTAATATTTGTTTTCGGCATACTTGAACCTCAAAGCCAGATCCATGAAAGGAAATTAATTAAGAAGTTTGTAATCCAAAAAAGTAGCACAGATTGTTGTGAAACAGCTAATTAATGAACTGAGGGCCAAAAAGGCACATTTTTACCAGTTATTCTGGCAGTCCTTTGGGAGGGCCTCCCTCTAGCACGGCAGTAAGTTATTTCACTATTCACATTCATAGAATCATAGAATAGTTTGGGTTGGAAGGGACCTCTGAAGGTCATCTAGTCCAACCCCCCTGCCGTGGGCAGGGACATCTTCAACTAGAGCAGGTTGCTCAGAGCCCCGTCCAACCTGACCTTGAATGTTTCCAGGGATGGGGCATCCACCACCTCTCTGGGCAACCTGTGCCAGTGCTTCACCACCCTCAGTGTAAAACATTTCTTCCTTATATCTAGTCTAAATCTACCCCCCTTTAGTTTAAAGCCATTCCCCCTCGTCCTGTCACAACAGACCCTGCTAAAAAGTTTGCTGCCATCTTTTTTATAAGCCCCCTTTACGTACTGATAGGCTGCGATAAGGTCTCCCCAAAGCCTTCTCATACCATGAGATTCATACCACGAAATTCATACCATGATCCATACCTCTCATTCATACCATGCCTTCTAATTTGCGATGAACGCCAAGTGCAAGGCTATGGTCGATGCCTTGCTCGGCACGCTGAGCAAACATCTTGAGGACTGAGGCTAAGTCATCACAAAGTTATGAAATAAAAAAACCGCCCTATCCCACTTATAACCTACGCAACCTTTATGCACTGACAGCTAAAAAGGACTCTGTAAATTTACTGCTACTATTAAGACTCTCTTTGGTATCTCTTCATGATAAGCCGAAGTATGATCACCTTCCCTTTTTCTGCCGAGTAAGAAGAAATGAAGTGCAAGACATACAAATTTAATTTCATGCCAGGGTAGAAACTCTGAGGAAGGAGGATAAAGTTGTATCTTTGGGAAGATATAAAAAGGCTTAGAAAACATGAATGGAATAAAGTTAAGGCACTGAACTATAGTTCAGGAGATGGATTTAAAACCTTCCTCTGACACAAACTTTTAATACTGTAAAATAAAATTATAAAAGTTTCCTAAATGAGACTCTCCTTTGAGCCATTTCCTTGTTCCTGTATTCAGCACAATCGCAAACCTGTTACCTGAACACTTGAATCGGTTAACAAAATGCAATTTATGGATATAACAACATGGTCCATAATACTGCAGTACAGATTTTCCCAGAAGACAAGACACCAAGCCCAGAAGAAGCCACCGTAGAGCCCTCTGACAAGCTGTACAGTTAGAAGCGCAAAACCAGATGTGGCATCGTAAGATGGAAAGAGAACAAGCCACATGAAGACAAAATTCTCAAACCAAAATTAAATTAATCAATAGGTATTTATAGCCTGCAGGACAGAAGGCATTAAACAAATTTTTAATCAGAAGATGACTGTTTAAAAGCTACCAGGCTCAAAAGCAAGAAATGCCTATAAATGTTCCAATTATAGGGAAAATATATACAGTATCTGAAAGTACACGCTGAGCAAATCTCTCCGTGCTCACCCTGCCCATGACATCAGGAGATCCCATCACATTCTTCTTGGAACCACATTTTCCAATTCCTCTGTGCCGTAATAAACACGGGAGTCAAGTACCACTACCTGTGCCCTGGCCCTTCCTCAGGTAACTCACCCACCCAGCAGCAGCACCACCAGCCCCCAGGTAAGACCATAAAACTTAAGTGTTCAGCACAGGAAAAACATGCAAATGTACAAATCAGACATTTTTAATTATGGGTCCAGAGATTTTTTTTTTTTTAGTCATTCTGTCAGGATAATGAGTTTTTCCTCAAATTTTGCAAAAGGATTCCCATACCAAAAAAATCACAAGCTGTTCGTCAACCTCTTGAGCTGCAAGATGCTTTCTACAGGCAGACTGCATCCAAATCCTGTCTCCAGCTGCTAACGGAGGGTGGTACATCCCACTTCCAGAACATGGGAATTCCGCATCTTGCGGCAGCCGAGCTGAGAGCTCATTGAGCCCCTGCTCTTCCACCAGGATCCGTGGCAACCTCTGGATCTCAATGCAACGGTCAAAACAGAGAGCATCAATGGTTTGTCAATGGTTTTTCACAGCAAGGTCGGTGAACCACAGCTGAGCCAAAATAAAGGAAGACTAAATCCTGTGAAAGTTTTGACCGTGTTCATTTTTGACAGGACATGCAAAAGGAGTCCTGACTCAGCACCAGTTGTCTAACATTGTTAGAGCTATCATTAAAGACTGTTTTTTACATACATATATGTATATATACAGCCTTCTAAAGCTGTAAGGGTAATCTAATACCCAGAATTTCCAGTACAGATTTTATTTTACAGTCATATGTCTTCTTGCTTATAATACCATCTACATCTCTATGTGGCAGATTACCCAAACAGCAACATCTACCTAAGGAGATGACCACTAACTAGGAAAACACATCACTTTGGATGTAGTTTGAGTGAAACTACTATGCCTTCCAGTAGTATAAAAAAAGGAGAGAGTGGGGGGACATTTTTTTTCTTCACAATACATAGAGGCTGCGTTAGGAATACATATTCGCGGATGTTTCGGCTGAAGAACAATACGAGCTACAGCCTAACCTGAATTTCCACTGCAACCAGTACAATTTGTGGCGTTAAAGGCTGTTGAACCACACTGCAACATGCACCAAAATGCCTGGGAGAGAGTTTTCTCCACCTGCCACTACACACAGCCCCTCCTGGACAAATACAGCTGTTCTGTATATATACACACATACAAGATGAACCCGGGTTTTTTTGCCAGCTTCCTTTCCATTAACACGGGAAATTCACAGGTGCGCTCTTTCCAACAGCGACGCTCAGACGGAGATTCTTACCAGCATCTGAAAGGCAGAATGACTGAACGGTCATTTTCCTTTTTGTTGCAAGACAATTTGCAGCAGATCAAACCTCTTCAAGACCGCTCCCTGATGTATACATTAAACAGGTTCAACAGTTTCGGGGCTTTTGTTTTTTTGGGGGTTTTTTGGGGTTTTTTAGATCAGGTCCTGATCCTGTGACATGTTAAAACACAGCCAAAACACTGACCGCACTGATGTGTTCCTCCCCTGCAGCCAGCAGAGCTCTGCAGGCACGGATTTCTGCATGCATTCATGTCATTAGTGGATTGCGGACGTAAAATTATAGTTACACATACATGACTATCCCTCTTTCACAGGGTATATGGTCAGGACAGATCTACAAGTTGCAGGTTAAGCTAGCCAGCATATTTGAGAGTTACAAATGGGCATTTATTCCACAATTTCAGAGACTTTTCTAAGAATATGGAAGTTGGAAAGCGGTATTTAACAGCATTGTGGTTGGCAAGGTTTCAGATGCCTGTTATGAACCGGATCTTCCCCATCTTTTCTTAAAGAGCTCAACAAAGTATTTCCAATGCAGTTTTGCATACGCCAGTGGAGAAAAGAATTTTACCGACAAGTAGCACAACACGGACGGAAAAGATGCTAGCAAATGTGGAGAATACAGAAAACGTGTACATTTTCCAAAAGTTCTGTTATTGCCCTGAGCACTAGAACTGAAAAATTACGTGTACAATGAAAACCCTGAAGTCCTTTTACAGTTCTCCCAACCCAGCAAAGCTTTTTAATGGCCCAGACCAAATAATACTGCACTAACTTAAACGGTCCCAAATGGTTTCATTGCTCTGCATCATAAAAGGTTCGGCCAAAAATCTCCTTCACAATTGGTTTATTTACAAGATCTTGGCAAAACCTAGCAACTTAATACTTCAGAAAAAGAGAGCTTCACATTTTGGAAGTTACTGACTGCTGAGCTCGTACTACCTTTCTCACACACTCCCAGTCGGACATCTGTTGGCAGCCGCAGAGGAACAGTGCTGCCAGCCTCCTGCACCCCAAGCCCTTTGCCTGGGGCAACTGGCGTGCGCAAAACCACGTGCTGTTATTTTACTCATAGCAGCTGCATTGGCCAAGATGTTCTGGGGCAGGAGTATGCCACAGTATCACTAAGGAAGAGGGAAGCAAAGGTCATAGTGGGGAAAGAAAGGGACAGAAACACGTTAGGAAAAAATAAAAGGCAGACAGAGATGTAAAGAGCAAGCAGCAGGGCAGAAGGGCCACGATACGTGTACATACAGTACACGAGGGTGCTGTACTGGAGCACGAGGCAAACTCCCGCACCTCAGGTAGGTGGAATTTGAGATGTATTAGCCAAATGGATTCATAAAATTCCCGTTTTCCTACTCTTCCACAAGGAAATGGGAAATCTAACCACTACATCGGAGAAACCCTAAAATAAAAACCAACCACAAGCTCCTGGCTTTGGATACACTTACACAGCAAATAAAGGTATGATTAAAGCCTAAGCTTTACTTCCGCTATAATCTACCTAGTAAAGATCCCTACAAACAGACTTCAGCGCGGACTAAAACCGTGAGTACCCAGCCACTCAGAATCACACAAAATTCAGGTCAGAAGGACCCTATCTAGTCCAGCCTTCTGCTCAAGGGTCTCCATCGCTTCACAGTGAAAACCCTGCTGCCACATTTTCGCTACTGTCAAACGTACGTGCAAGCTAAATCAAAGCTCACAAGTACTTCCGCTATAATCTACCTAGTAAAGATCCCTACAAACAGACTTCAGCGCGGACTAAAACCGTGAGTACCCAGGGTCTCAGAATCACACAAAATTCAGGTCAGAAGGACCCTATCTAGTCCAGCCTTCTGCTCAAGGGTCTCCATCGCTTCACAGTGAAAACCCTGCTGCCACATTTTCGCTACTGTCAAACGTACGTGCAAGCTAAATCAAAGCTCACAAGGGTTCACCGATGTTTCCTGCAGTTACACCTCTTACTGCCGTAAGGCACAACCACAGTGCCCCACGCACACGTACACGTGCAGAGGCTGCTTTCATGCTCTGCAGAGTTTTCCCACCTACACCGAAACGCTGCTCCCAGGGCAGGACCACGCAACCTGGATATCCACTTTCAGTACTTCCACCCTTCCCTCCAGGACCCCGAACGCTGCCCTGAGTACCCCGAGACGAGACGCCAGCATCATTACACCACCTACCATCTGCACACGCTGCTCTTTGCTGTTCTGCCTCTCTCACTTAAATAGCCTTCTTAAGACAGCAGGAAAGAGAAGCCTTTTTCGTGACTGTAACGTCACTATTAACACCCTGCAAGGATGTGATGTAAAATACCACATTTTACCAAGAGGACTCTGGGCCCAAGAACATCGATCAGCCAATGCTCCAAGAGATTATTTGGAGTTTCTGAACATCTCAACAGCAAACACATGCCTTACCCAGACGCAGCAACTAACAGAGCAGCTTATGGACCCTGGAAAAGAGGAATCTGATACTATTTCAGCCCCCGTTTTCACTAACATACAGCTGCTGTATTTGAACTAAAAAAGTCATTAGCAAAACACCTCTCACTCAGCTTACAAGAAGGGAGAGTTTATGTACCCCCTGAAAAATCCCAGGCTGCACGTCTCTGGATCAATGACTAGCATTACTACAGCCTCTGCTGTGGAAAAGCTAAACCCAAGCCAAAGGCTCAGGGCCCATCTCCAACATATTTGCAGAGGCCCTGTAAGGAAAATCCTTCCGTGAGGCCCCCGAATGACACTGCGGTGAAGCTATTGCACCAGCTCCCCATCACTCGTCCTCCTGCACCTCCGTGCCCACAGAAAAGAACAAAGCAGCAACTATTTTGCAGTCTCACTGCTACAGAGGCAGATCACCTCTGGAAGGAGTAAGTATCAGAAATGCAAGGAAGTTCATAAAAAAAGGGGGGAAAAAATAAGAACCAGCAACGCTTTGCTAACTGCACCCCCCTATGACCCAACTCCCACTCCCGCACACTCCATGGCTGAAGCTGGCCGATTCCTTCATGCTTGGGGGCAACGTCTGTTCCCAGCCAGGTGTCCAAGCAAGACACACAGAGGCAGGCATGCTTGCTCCACACCTAACATAATAAACCCTCCCAAACCCAAGGGCTGGTTCAAAGATACACATGCATGTACACACGCACGCAGATGAATACCCCCATTTTGGCATTTCCAGAGCCAAAGCTGCCCGGCTGGGTCAGATCCAAAACCCCAGCCCGTGAGCTAGTGCTGCCTACTGTAACTTATCTCTAGGAATCAGAAATATCTTTGGCGCTCTCTCTCCCACATCTAGTCTCTGACACTTTTTGATGTCTCTTTCTCAAAGACATATTAAGCATATTAACATCTTCCGTTAACTGATGAGCTTTGCGTTGACGTATGAGGCATCCCCAGCCTTGAGACCACAAACACAGAAACAACTCTGCTCGCTTTCATACGCTTGTCATAAAACAACTGTGCCATTGCCGGAGCTGCTGAAGTACACACTGCCTAAAACCTGCAACACGTGTAGGGGAGAAAGGAGGAACACATATGAAAAACAGCAAGTGAACCCTTGCAGAAGAGGTGGTCTTTTAACCAACAAAACCCACAGAACAGCAAAAAAAACAATCAAGCAAATGAGGTGTCACACTGAGAAATAGTGAGTCACACTCCCGTACAAAAGCACATTTCTTTGCTTTTGCATGACAACATTGTAAGTGTATCTTTTTCCTTCTTGCCAGCCAGAGGCTTAAAACCACTCACAAACAAACCTAAGGTCTTGAAAATGTAAACACCTACAACAAAAATATACACTTCTGAAATATGAACACTTCAAAAAGTTCCGGTTACACTTAAGAGTAAATCCAAGGCTTTAAACAGAATAATAACTTGTGTGACTGTTTACCTATCAACCCACTAACCTCGTCTACCACATAACATGGACATTCACAGATTTTAAGAGTTTTCATCTTTTTAAGTAGTACAAATACTGAATACAATGAAAATTATTTCCCTATTCAGGTTCTCCATCTATTCTCATTTATATCTTAACCGCAGTTCCTACAAATATCCAACTCCACCTAACATATACCTACCATACCGGGAATCCTCCCCAGGAAACGCTGATTACCAAATACACATCATCCTCAAATGTTCCCTATAAATTTCATATAAAGGACAGTAAAGTCATCCTGCAGAAGAACAATTTCAGAAGAATGTGACATACAACATTTCTGGCAACAGTCTGGCTTAGTGCTCCTTGCCTGTGTACCCCCGTGTAAAACACGCACGATTACATTTCTCCATTTCACATGGCTTGCATAAACTGGTCGATCAAACTTCATCAACTCCTTTAAAAGTTAAAAGCACTAGAGTTTCTGTATCCTGCTTACAAAACACAACTTGGGTATTTTGTGCTGCCGAGTAAAGTAAACAGCGATTGCTTGGCATTATGTAAGGCTTTCAAATGCCAGACACTGCAAGTACGCCATCGCATAAAATTCTTCTAAATATCTAGCTGCCACGCTGTTTGCAGTCTCCTTGTCATTGCAGATGAGCTGACTGCATCATTTAAAGCAGAAAAAATTACTAACTTTACCAGAGAAGAACTTCATTCCTTACTGGGTATGGGTAATAAAGCCTAGTCTCCAAGTGACCGATACCTTTACCCCAAATTCTTGATTTAGAACAACGTTTGAGGGTTTCCTTATCAAAACAATGAATGCATGTTCACACATGTTTTTTAGGACTTTTCCCAAAGGGCTTTTCTTAACAAGGGTAAGGTAATCCACGACGTTTCTTTAAACTGCTTTCACTTCATTTAGCATTCACTAAAGTAAATCGCAGAATAACCACTTTCAGTTGTTCAGCTTTATAACAAAGCTGGTGCAAGTGTTTAGCCAACATAACGACGTCACTGACTAACATCAGAAGATGCATACAGAACTTGCAGAATTTCAGTTCTTTATGTTTACCGTGCATTCACTAATCTCTTTGTAACTATGACCTGTTTTTCACTTGCAGCAAAATAAACATACATAAAACCAGGGATAACCTGAGACGAGCCCAAGAATGTCGCTTCAGAAGACAGAGAAGGTAAAATGTGTAATTTTTAAAAGGTATTTTTAGTGCTCCTTCTTCACATACGACTCACACAACAACTGTTCAGTAGTACATAGCATCTGAGGGCTGTAACCGATGTCAGAGCAGTAACAGATTCGATGAGATGAAAGGAAAAGGCTGCCAGAGCAGT